AAACACATGATACATAAAATTAAACTAGCCCTATATTAAAAAATAAAAACTTGATAAAACTTGATAAAACAGCAATTGAAACCCATAAAACAGCTAAAATAAAATAAAAAATAGAAACCAACATCTCACAAGGTATTAAAAGCCAGGGTAAAGAGGTCATGTAAGACCAAACGATTCTAGGTTTGTTGAATAGAATTATTCCTTTTTGACATTTCTACAACAAAACACAGATAAAATCTCAAATCAGTTATTTTCCAGTTGTACCTAAAAGTGTTTCAGTTTCCTGGACTAATTTAATCCAACAAACTGGATTAAATGAGATGACCATAATTGGAGCCCTGCTATGAAGCAGAAATGATGCTTTGCCTGGGAGACGGCAGCATGCCCGACCGACTCTGTGCTTTCTGTCTTTCTTCTCTGTTTGTCAGCACTTCCAAACATGGCTGCCTGCAGGGAGCCACAGACAGGGAGACTCTCTCTTAAGGATGCCAGGCTCCTGTCTATTATGTTTTTAACATGCCTTGGATTTTTTAACAGCAGTCTAAGTTACACCAAACACAGACGAGTCCAAGTCCTGCTGGTACCAAGGCTGAGCTACAGTGCAACATTTTCTTATCCAATAAGGATTGGGTGTTTGTGTAGTGTTCTAACCACTAATAACAACAATTACATGAAAACATAAACTGCGAGAATAGTCGCTTTTTAAAATGGTGGCTTAGAGAAATAACTACAGGCAATATTGTGATGCTGGCTTTACAATGATTTCAAAATAGTACAAATACTACACACCAATACTATTCTATTACCAAGATTATAATGTTATACATTTGAACCATCCTAAAGTGTGTGTGTGTGTGTGTGTGTGTGTGTGTGTGTGTGTGTGTGTGTGTGTGTGTGTGTGTGTGTGTGTGTGTGTGTGTGTGTGTGTGTGTGTGTGTGTGTGTGTGTGTGTGTGTGTGTGTGTGTGTGTGTGTGTGTGTGTGTGTGTGTGTGTGTGTGTGTGTGTGTCACACGCTGCCACCTAGCTTCCACTGCACCCAACGTTGACTGCTTGTTGGTGGACCCATTTGTAGGTGTGGTATGGTGTCACCAGGTCATGGAAATCCAAAAGGGCTCAAGTGAAGGCAACTGGATTCCTCTAGTTTATTCTGCTTCTTATCCAAGGAGCTTTGTATATTCTAACTGGAGAATGGAAGAGTCAACTGGAGAGAATATTGTTGCCTAACAAGCTGAAACCACCTACAGGTTGTTTACTTTTGCATCTGTAGGTACCCTCTTGCAGCAGTTTGAAGCAACCAAATTGCCACACACTTGCTACCAGCTCTCCTTCCAGTTCTGGCTCTAGAAGGGTGCTCCAGTCCCTCTAGTTTGAGTGAGGTATCTTGTTTGCCATGGTCCTCCATCAAGGTCTTTGGTCCTTTGGTCCAGTTTACTGTGGGACCTTAACAACACAATTGACACCATCAGGAAGCTACTCCATTTTGTGAAGATGAAGGGTAAAGGGGCAATTATCTTTGAGTAGAACAGTTCATAGGTAAAAGTGATGTAGTGGAGATAAAGGCTCCTCCAGATTTGAATCCATAGTTCTCAACTAATGATCCCTCCTGGATGAGAGTGAGTTTTTGCAAGAGTGGTAAGGTAAGCAAAAGGTGGATAAATGAACTGAAGGGTTGTCTGCTGCAATGATGATGTTGGTCCAGTTATCTATTATAAAACCTTTATACCATTCGCAGGTTCAACAGGGTCACATAAATCAGTTTTAATTCAAAGCTGTTTTCCTGCGACGCCTGGCCTTGGGGAGCTAAATATATCATGAAGAGACCTCGTCATCAGGGTTTAGGAAAGAAAATGGAGTTAAAGGTGACAGATAATTTGCTGTTGTGGCCCCCCTTTCCCAGCCTGGGCGGGACAGCGGGAAGGCCGCCGATGCGTCCAGGGTCACTGCAACCCCCCAACCCTCATCGCTCCTCCCCCTATCCACACTGAGGTGACATGCACTGCTTCTAGTGGCTGCAGGAACCGAAGTGTGGATTGTCCCAACCCACCACCCCACCTAGTGGACACTTATGTTGTGTTGTCTGAAGTCTGTTGCATATCTGTCTGAGGTGTTTTTTTGCAGAGCAAAGCTGCCCTCCTGGTGGAGGGTAACTCTGAAGTGCCTTTTTTCCCTCCACCTGAACCAATCCTCACGTAACCCTCTTATCTCTATTAAGGTAGCGCGACTCGGGTTGCGAATGACCACAGTCACCAATTCTTGTCATGTGCCTTGCCCATGTATGTCTGATCTCTGAAATGTGTGTACTGAAACTCTAATTTCCCTCTGGGATTAATAAAGTATCTTTGATTTGATTTGATTTGATTTAGGCTCAAATGTTTTAGCCCGTATAAATAACTATCAGCATGTGTGAGAGTGAAAATTCCAAATAAATTCTTAAAACAATGAAGTTGTGTTCTGTATGAATATTTTACCAAGAAAGAAAGCACTGCTCCAATCAATCAAAAAAAGATGATGATGACAGAAATATATCTATATGTCTAAAGACACACCGTCGTAGCTCATCAATGCTCATCACTCTTCTAATATTTCCTTAAAGATGATGATTCATTCTAATATTAATAACAAAAACAATCATTGTGGGATTATTTACATTTACGTACTCAACAGGTAATGGATTAGTAACAACATACATAATTGAAAGGCCATAAATCCACCCAAAGTCATTTGATAAATGCTTTGTACTGCTTATATTCTCAAAAGACTTTTGTTGTTGAACTGGTTCAAAACGTTTAGTTGTGTCTGTCTTTGGTGCGTATGGTCCCATTGGCTTAGGTAAACTACACACAGAAGGATTTGCTTAAAGCCTTCACCCATTGAGTCAGTCACTAAGGTGGAGGATTCTCATAATTAAAGCCTCATTAAAGCTACACAGCCCAACTATGTTGGTTTACAGGGCAGACAGGAACCTCGGAGATTCACAATGGGGCCTTTCATAATACTTGACTTGTCTAAGGGAAAAGAGAAAAGCAGTCGCTCTTAGCATTTGGGCAGATGTAATTGCAATCACTCAGCTTGTCTGATACTGATAATGGGGCAACGGGAAATTCCTGTCAGAGTCGTGGTGCGGGGTGGTTTCACAACCACTTTGGCAGGCTCCACGTTCCACTGCAGGGCAGCAAATGAGTTGCAGCATGCTCACATAGCTGTCATCAAACACATTTAGACAAAAAAGACAATCAAAACTTATGAGTGTGCGCCACTCTCCTGCTTCTCAAGCAGTGAAAAAGGCAAATATTATATCGTCTATCATCCCTGCACAGTTAAACATGTTGAAAGATCGCAGCTCATGAAAAACATAAAAAGGGGCCCATGCTTTAGCAATCCTAAATTCTGGCTGTGTTGTTCAACACTTTTATCTTTGTCACTTTTTTGGCTGACTGTGTGAAAGTTAAACAGTGGGAAATAGTGAACTCGAAAGAAGTCCATTTATACACAAAAATGTAATGTTTGTTTGTTTGTTTTCCAAATTATGGCAATGGCTGGAGCCAAATAATTAAAAGTAGTATTTGCACAATTTGGATTTCATTTTCTCAAGACAAAATAGAAACTGCTATGTAAAGATATCTCAGTATTTAAGCTATGTGTTGCACCTCAGCATTAACCAAATTCAAGATGGTCATCGAGCTTGGTTCCCATCAAGCTTTGCAAACATGTAAATAATTATGAAATACCTGTGTTTTTCTCAAATATTGACCCAAATCGTTATGGTCACAGGCTAGCCCGCTGTCACTTTCAACTAGGGGCTGCATGACTTCATCTTTCTTAAAGTCGTCCGTCAAGTAATTAAAATCGAGTCGACTTCGATTAGTTGTTGATGACGTCATACTCCTGAAGCGGCTAAAGCTGACGATGGGTGACCAAGCTTTTATCTCGACACATGGGTGGGGGGGGGGGTTCGCTGGAGTTTTTGACAATTGAAATTGCGCCCACAATTTCAAAGTTAAATACATCTCTTTTAACAACGGTAGTTTCTGCATCTTGCTTCTCATAGCCACACTCCAGCTCAGCCCACCGAACCTGACAGGATGACTGAGTCCCGAGTAGACCCAGCGGAGATCGCACAGCTGCGAGCTGAGGTTGCACAGCTGCTCAGTCATCCTGTCGGGTTCGGTGGGCTGAGCTGGAGTGTGGCTGTGAGACCCAGGCGCGGAGAGACTGGTGTTGGATGGTGACTGTTATGTGGCAGCGTGGGAAGATCTCTTCCCGTATGGTTTTCAGAGTTCGTAGAGTTTAGTGTTTTAGTTCTTAGATTGAGTTGGCGTCTATCGTTAGATGATGACTGCGTGCCGGCTCAGCTGTGAGAGGTTCTTAAATAGGTTCAGCGGGATGACGACACCGTGTTGCGGCGGTGACGGGGATGCTGGGAGATGGAGTGCAGCGCCCTCCAGGCCCGCGGAGGAGGTCAGGAGGAGGAGTTCATGACACAAACAGGGAGCGAAGAGCTACATGTATCCACGGTAGCCTTGGAGCGAACTGACAGAGCTGGGGCTGCCACGCACACTAGGCGCCACTGGTTCCCTCCAACAACCGCCAGCAGAAAGGTGGGTGGAAAGTCTTGCAAAAGGACTCAACGGCTGGAACAGAATGAGCAGGGCACAAACCCACAACCCTCCAGTAATGAAGCAGCCCTCTAAACTTTTCTGTCATTGTTCCCCATCATACGATCTGCACTACACATTGCACAAGATCTTAGCTTCAAACTTTGGATTTATCTATTGGAGTCAGCCATATTTGCTTGCAAGACATGAACAACTGGATGAGTGTTGATAAAAATTTCAGAAGATAAACATCTCCAACCGATTTGGCTAGCACAACCAACCATAGCAAATGAAAGCAATGCTATAACACAGTTGATTTTACTGGTACGGAGCTCTAATTTGATGTGTTAGTAGCTGAGTAACTAACAAGTTATAATGTTTGACAAAAGAAACAAATCCCGGAGGAAAAATGAATGGCAGCTTTATTAGAGTGTCTTATGGTACAATATGACCACAAACGGAACAAAACAGTCAGAAAATGTGGACGCAACAGAAAGTAAATTTAAAATAATGTAATCATTATTTCATGTGTGGTTTTCTTTTTCATTAGGAAATACGCAGCAACACTGATTTTGTTGTACAGAACCCCCCTTAGAAAAAAAACACCTGATAATGTAAGAAACTATCCATCAAAAATAAAAACCACCTACTGGTCATGTTCGAAAGTTTCCATTTAGCAAGTGTTTAAGCGTGGAAAGACCTTTTCAGACCTAACATCCCTGGATCTGCTGAGGCACAACAGATCTCTACAACCAACCGCCTTGCTTTATTCATGATTCTTGGATGTTTTACACAGAAAACTATTTTTTCTCTCACTAATGCCAGGAAAAGTGAATGGGAAATGATCATTGTTCATTTATCCGACACAAAAATTAACATTATACATGGAAACAGAGTTCTTTAAAAACAAAAGGTATTCTTTTGTATATTATCTCTGTGTTTAACTTTGTAACCCATTGCTTTGTTCTTTTGTTACACAGTTTTGTAAAAAGCTAAGGCCTCTAGTCATCATCATAGTTTGCAGTGTTGGTGGCATCACTTCCCTTTATCCGCGGACAGCAGAGGGCGAAAAATTATAACAATGAAAAAACATAATATCCACACACCAACAAAACCATACATGACATTCAGAAAAAAATTAGTACACCCAAGATTAAAAATATGGAGTCATATATGAAATACCATGTAAACTCTGCGATAAAACATATGTAAGAGAAACCGGTCGCCAACTCGACACATGAAAAATAGAACATCAAAGAGAGTGTGAGAAGCAAACAAGTCGAAGACACACAACAGCAGCAAGACAAGAAACAGACAGTACAATAAAGAAATCAGCTGTAACAGATCACTGCACAAGGGGAAATAATGTAATGAACTGGGACAACACACGGATCGCAATCACAGAACCACAAAAATAAGCAATAGAAATAAGGAGACGTGGACTCAAAACCATGAACAGAGACGTGTCACCAGTAAGGAGGACGCGGGCAGTTGAGGGCGACACCGTCCTCTGCTGCCTGCGGATAAACGGAAGTGACGCTAACAAAAACCATGAAAACAAATTTTTTTTTACTAAACTGTGTAAAAAAAAGAACAAAGTAATCGATTACAAAAAGTTGTCATTTTTAAAATAGCCTTGTTAATTTGACCATGTTTCTAAAAAATATGTTTCATTCAGATAACACCAAAACAACCCAAAACATTGTAGTCCATTTTTAAAAATCGTTGTGTAGAGAATTCAGGTTCAGCTTGCTCATGGACGCCGTGCCTGTAGGTAGGGCAGGCGGTTGCTACAGGCCTCCAAGGACTCCCAAATAGCCAACAAACTTTGAACCAAGTCGGAACCACAACAATATTGAGACAGTGGCAGACTGTCATTTGACAGCACTGCTGGTCATCTCACACTCTTTGATAGGGCCTTCACCTCCCTCCCAACCACTGTGTGAGAGACCAGCCACAGCTCCTCACTGGCTCCAAAAACCACCTCGAAATCTTGTCACACCAGCTCAAGACCACGTGCTTGCTTGTCTGGGCTAGACAGCAGGTCTTTGTTCTTTTGGCTCCATGACAACCTTGCAGCACCACTGAGCTTGCATGTTGACTCTGACAGACGTCTACGGTAGGTTGCAGTAAACGCACCTATAGGATGTTTTGTCAAAGCCACTAGGACAGCAGAAGAATAAGGCGGACTTTTATTATGAGGCGAAAACCTTAAAGAGCAGGTTCACTAAGAAATCGTGTTTTATTTTCTATTTTTGAAAACGATTGGTCACTCTGCGTTTCACATATGCTGCTGAACACGAAACAGTCCTACGCCCATCTCCTGCATTAGCTTTTGATAGAAAATAGACGCTGAAATTCTAGGATTAGAAAATCCTGACAGATCTACGTCACACTGTCACTTAACATTCATGAACTCACCCATCTTGACTTCAGACAGGAAAGGCTGTTGTTGGTTTGGCGTCCAGGAAACAACAGAGAACTCTCAGCTAGTTGGAGCTAACCGTTAGCATTAGCAACTCCACATGTCAGAACTTCTTCAGGTTTGTGTTATTTGTGGAGATGAAACAGTGGCGAAGTTATGTTGCTGTTATCCAACCAGAGACGAGAGGCCCAAATATCAGGAAATAAGAATCCAATCCTGCCGTCTGAAGCTTTCTCCTCCAGCTGATTTCTATGTCCTCAAACAGGAGCACGTGAGCTTTTTGTTCCCAGAGTACGGCTTACAAGGCGTTCACTCCTAGACCACTGCAAATGTGTAAAAAAAATTTTTTTTAAAGTATAGTTCACAAACAACAGAAAGAAAGGAAAATCAGTCAGATAAATACAAAAGTTAAACCAAATTTAAGAAAAAAAAAAAGAAAAAAAACTCATACTTTTTGTCACAATTAATCCAAAATAAAAGAGTGCAGGACAATGTTGGGACTGGGACTCGTGCTGACTCGGACACCCAGAAGTAACAGAGATTTTCTGGAGCAGTATCCAGCAAGGAGATTGGCTGGATTCATTCACTGTCCACAACAATGCCACTAACACAGTTATCCAACCTTTTACTGGTTCTCCATGGTCTTACCAAAGTACCCACCAAATTCCCCATCTGGTTGTCATTTTCTAAAAGCATCAATTAAAGGCCTCAAAAGCACCTTTTTCTGTGCAGATGCACAAGCGTACACAACTAAATTTAAGACATGATGATGAATCTTGTGAAACAAGTTCTAAAATTTAGAATTTCAAAAAAAAAAGTTGGATTAATGTGTAATCATGTTCTGATTAGCACCTAAGTACCACTGAGGTATTTGGTTTCAATGAGCAAAAAATCTTTGACTTGAAAAGTCAATCAACAACAAATTCAGAACGAAGTATGGATAGAATTGAATTCAAAAGACTTTAAAACATTTAGGCCCTAAACAGAGACGTAGGGCTGGAATATACTTGCTGTTTAACCTCGCGCTGGCGAGTCTTTGTTCACATACCAGCTGCTACAGCAGTAGGGGCAGCAGTTGTCCAGTAATCGGAAGGTTGTAGGTTCGATCCCCGCTCCGGACAGAGAATTCTGCTGCATCTTGCCCACTTAACCCACCGTGCCTGCTGGTGGTGGTCGGAGGGACCGGTGGACCGGTGGCGCCTCTATATGGCAGCCTCGCCTCTGTCAGTGCGCCCCAAGGCAGCTGTGGCTACATTGTAGCTCATCACCATCAGTGTGAGAATGTGTGTGTGAATGGATGAATGATACACTATAGTGTAAAAAACTTTGGAGTCCTCACACTGAAAGGCGCTACACAAGTGCGGGTCATTTATCATTGTCATTTACATGGCACTGCACTGTATGTAGTACTGGAGTGTTCCACCAGGGGGCACACAAGACAACTCAGACCATATAGAGAGTCGGGTTTGTGGGAACAACCAAAACAAACATGGAGTCAATAAAAAGCTCACTAACTGGCTAATTTTGAGATCACGACAGGAAAAAAAGACAGCAGCGGTATCGTAGATGGCGTGGAAGACCTCTAAACCACAAACAGTCACCATGGTGAGTGTGTCTCGCTCGTTTCGTCAACTCCACCTACTGGTTACTCGTGTAATGCAGCGTCCGGACGCATCGTGTTAATTTCCAGGACACACAAAACCCACGCTTCAGATCAACGCATGTGATGTGTGGCAGCCGTTTTAAACACACGTTCACCTCGTTAAACAGCAAGTATATCACGGCCCTAATGGTTCGTAGGAGTGTGGGTTTGGGGTCTGTGGATGTGAGCGCAGAATCTTCTCAGTAGTTACTGCGATATTCAGAAAAACAAGAACATTTTATTGATTATATCATGCAAGGCTTTCAGACATCAATTATCCAGTGTACTCACAGAGTCTATGTACCATATAATATATGATAAATACCATATAATATATTATGGAACATATAATATATTTATATATAATGAATATATAACTGTGAAAAATTCATTCAGAATTATAACTGTTCACATAATAGTTCAAAGTAAAGTACGTAGAAAGCCATATTATTTCATGTTTCTTTGACGTAAAAAGAGCAAATGTGTGATTTACTGCAAAATAGACAGCAACTTTCCAAACTCCTTTTGATTTATAGGTCATTTTGTTGATGAAGCAACATGCATCTAGGTGTGTGGAGGAAGAGAAAGTGCATTGAGAAAAAACTCATCCCTTGAGTTGTTCACACTGTCCTTTTTTCAGCTTATAGGCAGTAAAGTCAATGTCAGCCATTTTTTCTTTCTTCAGAAGTCCCCTGTGGTTTGCTCTTGAGTCCATGTTTTCAGAGGCAGTTTATTCAAAGATACAATAGCAAAAAGCCACCAGCTGGCAGCTCTGAGAATGCCCTTCCTGGGTGTGAGGTTATACGCCGAGCAGGATGCCCATGAAGTCTGAACCATTCTGTATAGTGATGGAAGAACTAGCTGCATTGTCCACGTATATGGATGTGTACTGGCCAGCCTGCAGGGAAAACACACAATGTGTAAGACAAAATAAATACTGGACATTATTTTTCTATATTTTCAGATTGTTTGTCTCTTATCTAACCTGTAGCTCCAGCAGTCCGTGCACACTGACAGTGAATATCCTGCTGTTACTTTCTAATCCAACAATCATCTCCAGTGAACTGTAATGACATCATTAAGGATAAAAAATAAGTCAAGGTAAGGTCTACTACACATAAAACCTTTGATGTTTAAAGAACCGACACACATTACAAAGAATAAGTGTTGAAATTGATGAGGATTCCTAAATTTCCAGGAAAAGCATGATTTATTTGGTGTCTTTACTAGTTAGTAAATAAAGTAAAGTGGATTTCTAGAGTACTAAGAGTAGTTATGATGGCTGATCACTGCAACTGCTGCAGGTGAACCTCAAGTTGATTGCATGGAAACTGCACTGAGTTTAAGGCTGGACAATGAAAGTAGAATACAACTGCACAATAACACTGACTTAACCAACCATATTTAATACAATTTAACGTAATTCCTCCAGGACCACCGACAAAATGTCCATAAAGAGGGAAGGGCATAAGAGATCTCAGTGTTTTGAGGTGAACATTTACAGAATGAATATTTCATGAGAAAACATAATTGTCCGGTGCCAGTTGGTTGAAGGCCTTTTGGAGCTGGCTCATTGCTACAGTCACTTGCATCATATTACGTACTCTATTATTTGGTGGCCAATTTCACAACCCTCTTCCAGAAGAGGTGGAAGCCGTAGCTGGGGAGAGGGAGACCAAGGGCTAGGGTCTCTGTTTAGTCTGCTGTCAGTGTTGTGCCAAACGCGTTCATTGAACGATCATTCGTGAATTTGTTCCTTTTTATTCATGCTCATGAACTGAACTCGTTCGTATTTTGCCTGACGAACGTAAAAGTGAGTGCGTTCGTCCTGGCGTGCGTGAACAGGTGCATGAACGCGTTCTTTCGCCGTTCTAGCTCCAGATCTCCACACAGCTTTTCCGGAGCTAAAGACTAGCTAAAACATCCTGTTAACCATAGAGTTTATAGAAAGTAGAACCCCCAAATCCGGCCAAACATAGGCAGTAGCGGTTGGTGCGGTGTCTACTCTTCTATGTCTATGCTGTGTGCCGGAGTCAAAGTTCATTCAGAAAAATTTCAACGGGACTTAACCCTTTGATGCATAATGGTCACTACAGTGGACAGGTACTCAAAATTGTTGTTTATTTGTTTTTGCTATAAAGCACAGATGTTGAGGACTTTATTGCATTTGAGCCTCTTCATTTGGACTTCAGTAAGCCAAGCCAACATATTTCATGCTCAGAATGCACACTGTCCACTGAGGTGGACATGTAATAAATTATTTGTAAATTATAAAATTTTACAAAAAATATTTGTTGAAATTTGTTTCATTCACACCTAAAGACAAATGAAAAAAATGTTAAAAAAAATCATGCATGAAGATTTCATAATCCATGCATCAAAGGGTTAAATGAAAGATTACACTGTTTTTATGTTTTGCACTTTGAGTTTGCAACCTCAGACTGCTTCCTAAGTTTGTTTAATAATTTCCCATTAAAAAAAACTGTTCGAATAATGTTTTCCTCATGTTATTAAGAATATACTGTAGGGTAAAAACTGCAGCTGGGTATGAGTGTGGACTGAACGGGTGCCAACAATTGGAAAATTATTTCACAAGTTATATATATATATATATATATATATATATATATATATATATATATATATATATATATATATATATATATATATATATATGAGAAAAAAGAACTATGAACAAGTTCGTTTTTGGAACAGTGAACTTAGTTCAAACTAGTTCATTTTAAAATGTATGAACTGAACTTTGAACTTGTTCGTTTTGTAAACAAACTTTCCCAACACTGGCTGCTGCCTCTGTTCAATAAGTAGAATGCAATCAATGGATGGATAGAATGATGGTGGATGGGTGGATGGACATGTCCCTTATATAGAATTGATGCAATGGAAGCCTGCGTGTGTGCTCATTAAAACATACAGAGGGCGGCCATCTTGGTTCTGGCAGAATTTTACCATTACCAAGGTAGCTTTGTTTATTCCAGATCTGTGGACCAGTGATTGCAGATTTCGGTATAAACTAGGTAAGTTTTCAAATAAATGTTAAACATTTAAACAAGCATCACCACCAAAGGCTTTTGATTTGGCAACCAGACGACTAGTTGGTGGACCTTTAAGGGTAGGTTGTCCAAGAGGGCACTTGAAGCAGCTGGCCGAAACTGTGGAGTCTGAAGAACCGCAGTTTCTGTTGTCTTAGAGGCAAAACCTACATAGGGGGTGGGTGCTGGAGGATTTTAAGATAGCGCTAAGTAGGGTTGTCACGGTAACTGGTATAGCGGTAAACCCCGGTAAAAAAGTTGACAATAAAAATAACCGTCCAGTTTTTAAAAAACTAAATTATCTCGGTGGGTTTACCGTGGCCGCGGTTTCGGCGCGGTGACCCTTACCAGCCACCGTCGCTTCAGCTGAAGTTCCCGCGGCGCGCACACGCACTTTTTAGTTTGCAACGGCACCAAAACTTTGAAGCTGAAATAATGGCGGAAGGAGGAGACGGCAGCGCCCAGGACATCCATCAGCCCTCAAAGAAGTTTAAATCGGAAGTATGGGCATATTTTGGATTTCTGAAAAACGCTGAGGGACAGTTAATAGAAGACGGCTATCCCGTTTGCAGAACGTGCAGGAAACAAGTGTCTGCAGAAGGCAGCAACACTTCGAATCTAACGGCACATCTGCGTGACCATCACCCACGTCTCTACAGCCAGTGCAAGGTAAGTTAACATTAGCATTTTAGCTTAAATGCATGACGTGAGGACTTTTGGTTGAGGGAGAATGCAACGAGTCACTATATACTGCAGCCGCAGCGTCCTCTGCCAGCATTTAAACCGTGTTACGGACACCCTGTTGCTGGATGAAGCATCGTATTTGTTGATGATGAAGAGAAATATACAATTAGTTCCTTGTCATTGATTTGTTTACTTATTCAATGCCATTTATACTTGAACATTTGGATTTGATTACATAGTGTAGTAGTTATTTTAGTCATTTGTTTAAAGTGGCTATTTATTTTAAATACATATTTTTTAAGGTTGACTTGTACAGCGCTCAAGTCAAGTGTGGACTGGAGTTTTAGATTTTCATTTTGATAATGAAGAAAACAAGTATATGAGAAAACAAGTGGTGTTTCTTTGATTTGTTTACATATTGTTTATGTTTTGAATGTTTGGATTTGTATAATTTAAACCTGCACTGACTACTGTAACATGTTCCAGAAAAAGAAGCTATTTGTTCATTTACTTGTGAAAAGTTGCACTTTTGCTAAGACTTTGTGTTATTTTAGGTTTAATAAACAATATTAAACCTTTTCAAAACTATTTCAGTTTGTGTAGAACAGGACTATCAATGCTTTCTGAACATATGCAACACCGTTTAAAAAATACCGCGATAATACCGAAAACCGTGATAATTTTGGTCACAATAACCGTGAGGTTAAATTTTCATACCGTGACAACCCTAGCGCTAAGAAAAACGTTACTCTGCCACTCTTGCCCCTAAATAAGTTTCCTTCATTGGAGTTTCAGCCCACAGAAATAGGAGCTCAGTCATCTGAGAGGATTTTGGGATTGGGGTCATTCCTCCTCTTCACCATGCATTAAAACAACATCAAGACTTTTAATAGGCTCAGCTTCAAAAATGCTATTTTTTATCATAAATCATTCATGTGTGTTTTAACTGCCATGGCATTAACCATTGTTTCGCATTCTCTTCGTAGAATGGCGTGAAAACCAAAAGTCCAGAGCTGTTTTTGGTTAAGTAACTTATAAAAACATTATTGTTTATTGCAGTGCTGTACACTGTCCGGGAGACAGCAGGGAGTACTGTGAACTTTTTATTTTCTCTGACTTTCTATAAAGAGAAGTTTTGACGGCCTGGAAAGAACAAAGATTTAGCCCACGTTTCTTTTGCATGCAGACCTACAGTAGCATTTGTTGTCTGCCTCCCTCTTGCTCTCTCTCATGTGTAACATGCTAGGTCAAAGGTCACTCTAGTTTGGCAGCAAGCTCTAGAGCTAACTGAGAGGACATTTCTTTCAAAGACCACTGTTTTTACACAGGAAATGCCAAACTAGTCCCATGTAAAGTGCAGCAGAAAACACCTTTAACAGCTCGTAAATTCCAGCTAAAGTTAAGGCAGCATTAAACCATAACTAATATGAGGGAAAAGAGAACAAACCGTCCAGCAGGAATGTCAAAAATGTAAAGTTTGTTTATTTTTTCTGCACAGAAAAAGTCTAAATTAGTTTTATTAAAACCCACTGAAGATCACCAGGGTTTTGATTCCCAGCGTGTCCAGATAAATACAGACCACACTGCAGAGATCTCTAGTTGATTTGAACTTGGCGAGGACTGCAAACCGTACAAAACACTTACGTGTATCTGTGGCAGAGTGAGTCGATGCAGATCAACACGCGGACATTTTCTCTGGCCTTCAGCTGACTTTTGTTCCTCTTCACCTTACTGTGATCTGCAAGGAGATAAAACAGTCACTTTAACGTAAACATATCACAAAGCCGTAGATTCCACGTCTCTGTCTCTGGCAGTGTGAGTTTTCATTACCGAGATCTTAAAACCAAACGTCCCTGTCATTATTGCTGTGTTGCAAACAGGAAATCTATTTTCTACATATTAAAATGATCTTTCAGGGAGCTGCTAAAAACACATTTATGTGGTGCGTTTCTGCATCTGTGCTAATGGGAATCAGAAGGGTTTTATTGCCGTATGTGCGAGAAATCACAACACTGGAAATTGCTGCAGCACTTGGTGCAAAAAGAAAGATAAAAATAAGAGATAAGCAAATGTAGGAAGTAAGAAAGTAACCCTAACCCTACTGTTTCACAGCAAACCTCTTCATTTGAAAAGGTGGCTCTTGTGAAGTTAAAGGGCAAATTGAACTTCCCTCTCCTGATAATAACTTTTTGCTTTCCTTGACGTTGGATGTGCTACTACTAGTTTATCCGTTTAATTATAGATCCACTAGGATAAATACAATAAAGTTTATCTTTCACCAAATACAATATTTACTAAGACATCACAATGTAACCATAGAAACACTACTTGTCTTTGTGTGTGTGCGTGCGTGCGTGCGTGCGTGTGTGTGTGTGTGTGTGTGTGTGTGTGTGTGTGTGTGTGTGTGTGTGTGTGTGTGTGTGTGTGTGTGTGTGTGTGTGTGTGCTCTCTGTCTTCTTGATCCCCAGTGAGTCGTGGAGGATTGCTGCTTATACTGAGCCAGGATTCTCTGGAGGTTTCTTCCTGTTAAAAGGGAGTTTTCCTCTCCACTGTCGCTACATGCTTGCTTAGTATGAGGATTGCTGTAAAGTCACTGACACTAGTCAGTGACTTGATGCAAACTGCTGGGTTCCTTATATAGGAAACCTTTTACTGATTGGCTTTATGAACTGACCTGAATTGGAATGTTTATTATGTGAAGTGCCTTGAGACGACTCTTGTCATGATTTGGCGCTTTATAAATAAACTTGAATTGAATTGAATTGAATTGAATTTAATGCACATTGATTTGACCAAAAACACTAAATGTGAAAAGCACTAATTTTAACAAAGAAATGCAACAAATGAGAAAACACAATGGTTTATCAGACAACTACTAATTTTATCTTGAGTTTTATGTAATATATAACTCTACTTGTGTTTCTACTTCAACTAGAACCAGAACTGGAATTATAAACATGTGATTAATTACCAATTTTACAAGAATCTCATGCATAAAGGAAAGTTATAGTAATTCACCGATGTGGACATTGGCAGAAAACTGGTAGATCCCCGCAGTGTGGGCTGTGAACCTCCCAGTGGTCTGGTCCATTCCAGTCCCTCGGAGGAAAGCTCCTTTAGTGGGTGGCTGAGAGAACACAGAAACTTGAGTAATATGTGAGCAATTCATGATTTACTGGCATCCATGGCCGAACACTGTGTACAGCCATTGCTAGAAGTTAGGAGAATGTCACAAACACTGTATTAACCAATGAAAGCATGCTGACACGGGCTTAGTGTTGCCACTGTGCAAGAACCCCAGAATTTTCTGAAGAAAGATCAAATTAATTAATCAAAAAACCTCTTTGATATGAAAATAAACATAATCAGAAGAAACTTCATTCCTGCAGCATTTTTGAAGCAGGCTGCAGGGAGTCCTGCATAGATAGATAAACTTTATTGTCCACCTCGAATTGAGGCAGAAATTCGCCTTGGACATGGCTCGCCTTACAATACAATCCATATCGCATTCACACAAATATATAAAAGACAATTAAAAGGTATTAAAATGTTATCATCGTAAAAAAATAAAATGAATAAATAAAATTTTAAGAAGTCAAAATTGTAATCGCGGTGGGAACAAATGATTTCTTATGGGCACCTTTCTTGGCCAGTGGAACCCTGAACCTCCTTCCTGATGGAAGTAGCTGAAAATGTGGGTTCGGTGGACGGGTTGAGTCTGCACTGATCGGGGTAGACTTCCTGTGTGCCGCTCGTTCGTGAAGAACAGGAAGTGGGATCTGAGGTGAGCCTGTAATTCTGCTGCCTAATTTAACAATGCGAGAGAGTTGTGTTTTGTTTTTAACTGTAAGAAAGTTATACCAAGCTGTAATATTGAAAGCTAGAATGGATTCAGTGATTTGTATACAATTGTTAGGATGTCCTTGTTCACACTGAGTGCTCTTAGCTTCCTTAGCAGGTGGAGTCTTTGCAGTGCGTTCTTGTAGACACCGTCGCTGTGATTTGCAAAGGACAGGTGGTCATCGATTTCTGTTCCCAGATACCGGAATGACTGAACCTGCTCCACAGGCTGACCCCGTACACTGAGGGGTGTGAACAGGGACGTGTCTGCCTCACTGGCCGCCCCACAGCACATTTCTTTAGTTTTTGAGATGTTCAGCCCCAGGTGAAAGTCTCCAAATGTCTGGACCAGACTGCTGACCGCCTGCTGATATTTAGACAGGTCCTCCGATGTCTCCACTGATGCCACCAGTGCCATGTCGTCTGCATACTTATACAGGGAATTCTCTCACTATGGCACCGGATGTTGTTTGTGTAGACGGAGAAAAGCACTGGAGACAAAACACAGCCTTGTGGCAGTCCAATGCTAATGACACTTTCGTGGATTTAAATCCTCTTAAAAACATTTGTTGTGGCCTGTCTTTCAAAAAGCTGTGGATCCATAAAAGCAGCGTCGTGTGGAGATGGAGATCTGAAAGCTGTTCCAGCAAAATGCTGGTGTCTGCTGTATTAATGCAGAAGAAAAATCCATGAATAAGATTCTTGTGTATGGTTGTGTAGAGTCCATGTGTCTTTTGAGTGTATACACTGGATCACATATGGGGCATGGTCATCGACACCGTCCCCTACTGCCCGCTCACAAAACAGCAAGGAAGTGACGTCACCACCACTCTGAGGTAGGCGCCGTGAGAGCCAAAATTGTAAGTGAAAAAAGGTTAAACTACAAACTTTGCTAGTCGGTGTATTGTTAAGAGCTCCTCTAAGTCCGAGACCATGGTCCTGAGTCAGAGAAGGTTAGAATGCCTTGTCCGGGTCAGGGACGAGGTCCGGCCCCACGTGGAGGAGTTTAAGTATCTTGAGGTCTTGTTCAGGAGTGAAGGAAAGCTAGAATGAGATGACAGATACAAGCGATTCAAATGAATTTTCTCCACAGGTTGTCTGGGCTCTCCCTTAGAGACAGGGTGAGAAGCTCGGTCATTCAGGAGGGGCTCAGACCCGCTGCTCCTCCACATCAAGAGGAGCCAGTTGAGGATGTCTCCTGGACGCCTCCCTGGTGAGGTTTGCCGGGGACATCCAACCGGGAGCAGATCTAAAGGAAGACTCAGGACACAATGGAAGGACAGAGAGCACCTTGGGATTCCCCCGGAGGAGCTGGCTCAAGTAGCTGGGGTGAGGAAAGTCTGGGACTTCCCTCTTAAGCCGGGCGGACACTGTGCGACTTTTTCCCTCGTAGCACTCAGCTTCAGCTCACACTGTACGACTTCCTCGCAGGGCAGATCTCACGAGTCATGTGCTCACACTGCATGTCTGGTAGCAACACGTCGGCCCTAAAAATATGCTAAAAATAGCAGTTTTTACTCAACACGTCAGACTTTTTTGTCTTGTTTTGCCTGTTGTCCTTCGGGAGTGCTGCAGGAGGACACACAGGGATTTATGGGGGTTGGATGAGGAAAACAAAATAAAGAAAGTAAATCTGTGTTTTGTGATCAGCTTAATTTGACACGAACACGACAAACACGCTTTCTTGACAATCTTTGTGAGTAAAAAAACGTGTAGAAATAAAAACGAACAGCGTGTGTTATTAGGGAAATAGCGAGCGAGTAGTGTTGATGCAGGATTGCGCGCGCATGCGCCGTGAGCGGTTCTGATACTTTTTGGGTCGCAGCGCCGCTTCAACAGTGCGATACCCTCACGAGGGACGAGCAAAATATTAAACACGCCAGAAGTTCGTGCGAGCTCACGACTGCTGATCGGTAGCTGGTCACGTGGTGTTAATCGCCTCTCGTAACCCCCTGTACACTACACGACCGCTCGGCGCAAAACTCGCCCCGATCTTGTGGATTCTCTCACGAGTGGAAAATCGGCTCAAAAAAGTGAAAAAGTCGCACCGTGTACGCCCGGTTTTAGGCTGCTGCCCCCATGACCCAGTAAGTGAAAGAGAATTAATGGATGGATGGTGCTGGTGTAAATGTCACACCCTGTCCTGTCTCCCCATTCTGTTCAGTCATGTGTCTGTTAATTGCTCCCACCTGCCTCTCGTTTTCCAATCACCCAAGCTCCCAGCCCTCCTGTATTTAAACCCTCTCAGTTCTGTGTTTTGTCGGTTCATTGTTTCCATGTCCAGCGTGTTTTATATTAAAGCCTTTGTAAGCTGTTCCTGTCTGCCTGCCTTTTTCACCCGCGTTTGGATCCTTGCCTCCGCTCACCTCGCCCACACGCCGTGACAGTAAACTAATGTACATATAAGATGGATGAACCCTCCCGCTGTCACCTGTAGGTTTCTGAAGAGCTGAATCGAAGCCCATTAGGCGATTCCAGCTACCGCCATCTGGGTCGTGTCACGTGTCTCGTCACTCCCGGATAATTCACAAATGGAGCTGAGAGCGGGGTTGTGAGCCAATGAGCTACAAACTAACTGAGCTAACTGAGTTTGGCGGGTGGTTTTAGCCAGAAAACCACGGTTGAACGACTCTGCTCTCCTCTACCTTCAAGGCTGTAATATTGCTAATGTGAAGCCGAGGCCGAGACCTGATGCAAGCAGAGGGGCAAGCTGCTAGTGCTGATCACTCATTTGCATCAAATTAAATACATGGTCTGTGAGAAAAACCCTCACATGCATATGAAAAACATGCATACTGCAGACAAGAAGATCCCCGTTGGGGTTTCAGCTGTGACATTTACACTGCAGTGCAGCAGTGCTGGGCTGATTTCTCAAATGTACTCTTCCTTCATTTTGATTAGCAGATGTTGATCACTTAATGGGTATTTGATGGATCTATTAAAGAAAAACAAACAATACCTCCGTAACACATTCTCCTAGTGGACTGGAGGTTGGTCCTAGCTCCTCCAGCTACAGCGTGTCCCATAGTTCCTCCTCAACAGCAAACTGTTTCTAACAGTCTATTTCTGTCCTCACCACACATTATTCCAAGTCGCAGACAGAGTGTGTTTTGTGTGCTTCCCAGGGAGTAATGTGTAGAATTGAAAAGTGGATATTTTTGACCCAGAAGGGGAGTTTGAGCCTCAGAGTGGCACTGCTTGCCACGCCGCTGCCAGTTACCAGGGAGGGGATGATCCTCTTGTAATTCTCGAACAGCCAAAGTAAGCAACGTCTACCAAACACTCGCTCCTTCACAGCTAATACAGAGAAACAAAGCCCGTAACCATGGGTGAGACTGAAAGCCGGGAGCAAAGCGGACTGATTCATAAACATTTACACGGTTTCAAACAAACTTACTGTCTGAAAGTTCTGGAGCTCCACCAGCGTCTTCTTGTCCACCACCGCAGGTCCCTTGAGCTTGCAGTGGAAAGCGACTTCTAACCTGCGGCAGGAGGTCTTCGCATCCAGGCTGAAGATGGCTGTGGGTAGCTGACTGGGAATGGTTTGATCATCGAGAGCAGCTGCTCGTCTTTCTGTAGCCTCTGACAGAATCAGGACCAAGTTACTGCACTTTAGAACGACCGCACGGCAATGTTCAAACTGCTCAGTAAAAATGATGCTATTAGAGCATAGCACAGCAGCTCACCCCTGCAAATGTGACAAACCTAACAACTTTGCATTAAAAACCAGCACACCTTTTATCATTTCTTTAAATTCCTGTAGGAGAACTTCCTGGGTCATTTCAGCTCCTGGGAAGCCAGGTGGTCCCTGAGGGCCTGGAGGACCTGGAGGACCAGGTGGACCAGGCTAAAGAGGAATCAAAACAAAATGTTGTCATATTTCTAAATATCCCCTGAATATCAATCATTTCACCTTATAGTGACTCAGTAGGATTTCTTTCTCTTTCTGTATTCAAATGTAAAACACAGTCCAGTGAGCGGGCTTACCAGAGGCCGTTTGCACTTGCGACATTTTCCAGGGAAGTTTCCAACAGGTCTTTTGACAAAATCCATCCATGACCCCAAAGGATCCACTCTTTGGTTTTCAGAAGTCTGAAGCAAGACAAGATGTGCAGATTTTTAAACATTAATAGACATCATGCAAAAGCTGAATAAAGTGTCTAAAGGTGTGGAACACTCGTTTAATCAGTGCATCTGCAGCGGTCTCTAATGCTTTAAGCCGGACGTACACTGTGCGATTTTTTCACTTTTTTGAGCCGACTCGTGCGAGAATCCACGGGATCGGGGCGAGTTTAGCGCCGAGCGTCGTGTAGTATTCAGGGGGTTACGAGAGGCGATTAACACCACGTGACCAGCTGCCGATCAGCAGTCGTGAGCTCGCACAAACTTCTGGCGTGTTTAATATTTTGCTCGTCCCTCGTGAGGGTATCGCACTGTTGAAGCGGCGCTGCGAGCAGCTGCGACCCAAAAAGTATCAGAACCGCTCACGGCGCAGGCGCAATCCTGCATCAACGCCGCTCGCTCGCTATTTCCTTAATAACACACGCTGTTCGTTTTTATTTCTACACATTTTTTTACTCACAAAGATTGTCAAGAAAGCGTGTTTGTCGTGTTCATGTCAAATTAAACTGATCACAAAACACAGATTTACTTTCTTTATTTCGTTTTCCTCATCCAACCCCCATAAATCCCTGTGTGTCCTCCTGCAGCACTCCCGAAGGACAACAGGCAAGACAAGACAAAAAAAGTCTGACGTGTTGAGTAAAAGCTGCTATTTTTAGCATATTTTTAGGGCCGACGTGTTGCTACCAGACTCTAAGAGGTCGCATCCGAGAACTGGGTCGTGCAGTGTGAGCACATGACTCATGAGATCTGCCCTGCGAGGAAGTCGTACAGCTTGAGCTGAAGCTGAGTGCTACAAGTGTAAAAGTCGCACAGTGTACGCCCGGCTTTAGGCATACTCTGGGGGGGGGGGGGGGGGCACAGGTGCACCAATGTCAGGAACTAGAAGTGAGCCACAGCAGCGGAGAGCTGCAGACAGCAGGATTTGGAGCCTTATTTCCACATCTTTGGACATTTCCCCTCCGACTGGCTAACACCACTCCACCCCTGATTCCATTTGCTCTGCAACTTTGACGTCTCCACAAATAACACAAGCCTGCAGGAGTTCTGCTCCCCAACTTTCCCTCGTCATGAGTCAAGATGGGCGAGTCCCTGAATGTTAGGTGGCAGTGTGACGTAGATCTGTCAGGCTTTTCTAATCCTAGCGTTTCACCGGAAGCTAATGCAGGAGATAAGTGTAGGAGACTATTTTCATGTTCAGCCTGCATGAAATTCTCAGAGTGACTGAATATAATCAGAAATAATCATTGGAACAATGTTTTATTCAGTGTTTCACACCTTTAAAACTAAATGTGCAAGAAATTTTGAGCTTTTAATTGGACAAAAGTGAGAGCTGTCTAAGGTGCTGAAGAAGAATATTACAGATATCGATGTTAAAGGTAAACACTCGAAGACCAACCTCAAGCAGCTTCAAGGTTTTGTGACCACAGCTGCCAACACAGTTGAAACTCAAAAAACTAGAATTTGGTGCAAAAGTCTTTTTATAACCAGCTTAGACTGAGAGACCATCTAGAACCCTTTCTCTTCACCCTCTGCACTGCAGAGTTCAGACACCACAGACAGCTGCGTTCTGCAAAAGTTTTCAGACAACTCTACGATAGTCCGACTCATCACCGAGGATGATGAAGCAGCGCACAGAGGATTGACGTGGAACTTTGTGGACTGGTGCCAGCAGAACCACCTCCTGAATAAAGCAAGGAAAACAAAGGATGTGTTCGTGGATCTTCGAAGACGCCAGCCCGCTGTTCCTTTTCTGGTGAAGATCCAGGGAACGGACATCGAGAGAGTGAAATCCTACAAATACCTGGGTGTTCCCTCGAGCAGTAAACTGGACGGGTCTGACAACATAGATGCACTGTACAGGAAGGGCCAGAGCAGGCTCTACCTCCTGAGGAGACTGCGGTCCTTTAGAGTGAAGGGGACACTCCTGAAGACCTACGACTCTATGGTGGCACGAGCAATCCTGTACGGTGTGGTCTGTTGGAACAGCATCATCACAGAGAAAGAAAGAGGAAGAAGATGGACAGGTTGATAAAGAAGTCCAGCTCTGTCCTGGGCTGTCCTCTGGACTCAGTTCGAGGGGTGGGGGACAAGAGGGTGCTTGCAAAACTCAGATCAATGCTGGACCGTGAGTCACACCCCCTGCAGGATGCCCCTTCTGCTCTGGAGAGCAGCTTCAGTGACAGACTGATCATCCCTGCTGTGTGAAGAGAGATACCACAGTCTTTCCTTCCTGCCGCTGTTAGACTCTATTATGATCACCATGGATGTAATTTTCAATTTAGAAGTGGGGGGGGACACGAGGGGGGGTATCTTTACAGTATGCTCTAATGGGAAACAGGCTTCAACACAAACGGTTGTTTTCCGCTTGGTCCTAGAGCTCAACCAGTGTCAATTTAATATAGCGTAATATTGTTTTTGGATGGTAAAAAGTGCAGGGGTCAAAACTTGAATTTGGAAAAAAAGGGGGGGGGGGGACATGTCCCCCCTGTCCCCCCCCCCCAAAATTACGTCCATGATGATCACTGCTAATATGGAACCCATACATCTGCAACATTCCACAACAAACACCATCAACGACATGTGCAATATTACTACTACTATTATTATTATGTGCAATGATTATCTTGATTGTCTTAATTTATATTTATGCTCTCATGTGACATATTTTGTGTGCTACTGCTGCTTTCTTCTGTCCTTCAGCTGTTGCAATAATGCAGTTTCCTCACTGAGAGACAAATAAAGTTATTCTTATTCTTATAAATTCACTTTTTGCACCATACTCTATTTTTTTTTAGGTTCACCTGCATTATTAAAAATAATTGTCAGCACTACAGTCAGTCTTCCTGTAAATGGGCAAATGTTCAACCCCGGAACTCACCGCACTTATGCACTTCCCTGGGTCCTCCACTCATCACACACTCACGTGTTCAGTAGTAGAACACTGCTGGTGTGAGGTTCTCCGCTCAATAATACCAGAGAAGGAGAAACAGCTGGCTGCTACCACTTCAACTTTAGGACTAATTACCACGGTTCCAGAGAGAAAAACACCGTTCGAAGTCACGGACAACAAGAGACGTTTGGACCTAGAAAACGGTGACTGGTGTTTAGCGCTCACTAGTATCCTCTGGTCACAAGGGTTTCCGGTGGAAGCGGATCCAGGGATGATACCCAAGGTGAGGGGTGAATGTTCCATGACCGAGTTTGTGTTTAAAACCTAGCTTGTTTTCAGATATGCTCTAACAGCTTTAAGAACACCCCACACCTGTATGTTTACCCTTTGTTCGTCTGGACAACTGAAGCTAGAGGTGCAGGGATTGTGCTTTCTCAATCATGGCCCCCCAACTTTGGAAAGCTCTCCCCCTAGACGTTAGGCAGGCTGAAGATCAGGTTGAAGAAACCTTTTTATCGGGTACCTTTAATAAAATGGAGTGAATGGCCGACACCTTTTATTGTCTTGTTTTAATTGTAGTAATCTATGGATTATAAGTAGTTTTGAACTGTTTAACATGGTGTGTAGCATGTCCAACATTCAAGTTTATGTGTGTGCCCCTTGCAGTCAACATGCTCAGTCTGCACAGCCCCTGAATTTCACTCTTGTATTTATTTACACCTGGTTTTATTGTGTATGATGGTTTGAATAATACAGATTTACTGGGGTCCTTCGTCTTCGTCGTCTTCGTCTTCCTCCGCTTATCCGGGTCCGGGTCGCGTGGGCAGCATCCCAACTAGGGAGCTCCAGGCCGTCCTCTCCCCGGCCTTGTCCACCAGCTCCTCCGGCAGGACCCCAAGGCGTTCCCGGACCAGATTGGAGATGTAACCTCTCCAACGTGTCCTGGGTCGACCCGGGGGCCTTCTGCCGGCAGGACATGCCCGAAACACCTCCCCGGGGAGGCGTCCAGGAGGCATCCTGGCCAGATGCCCAAACCACCTCAACTGGCTCCTTTCGATCCGGAGGAGCAGCGGTTCTACTCCGAGTCCCTCCCGAATGTCCGAGCTCCTCACCCTATCTCTAAGGCTGAGCCCGGCCACCCTACGGAGGAAACTCATTTCGGCCGCTTGTATCCGCGATCTCGTTCTTTCGGTCATTACCCAAAGCTCATGACCATAGGTGAGGATTGGGATGTAGATCGACCGGTAAATCGAGAGCCTGGCTTTCTGGCTCAGCTCCCTCTTCCCCACGACAGATCGGCTCAGCGTCCGCATCACTGCAGACGCCGAACCAATCCGCCTGTCGATCTCCCGATCCCTCCTACCCTCACTCGTGAACAAGACCCCGAGATACTTAAACTCCTCCACTTGAGGTAGGACCTCTCCCCAGACACGGAGGTGGCAAGCCACCCTTTTCCGGTCGAGAACCATGGTCTCAGATTTGGAGGTGCTGATCCTCATCCCAGCCGCTTCACATTCGGCCGCAAACCTACCCAGCAAGAGCTGAAGGTCAGAGCTGGATGAAGCTAGGAGGACCACATCATCCGCAAAAAGCAGAGACGAGATTCTCCTGCCACCAAACTCGACACACTCCACACCACGGCTGCATCTAGAAATTCTGTCCATAAAAGTGATGAACAGAACCGGTGACAAAGGGCAGCCCTGGCGGAGTCCAACCCTCACCGGGAACAGGTCCGACTTACTACCGGCTATGCGGACCAAACTCACGCTCCTCTGGTAAAGGGACTGAATGGCCCTTAACAGAAATCCACCCACCCCATACTCCTGGAGCGTCCCCCACAGGGTGCCCCTGGGGACACGGTCATAAGCCTTCTCCAAATCCACAAAGCACATGTGGATTGGTTGGGCAAACTCCCATGCCCCCTCCATCACCCTTGCAAGGGTATAGAGCTGGTCCACAGTTCCACGGCCAGGACGAAAACCACATTGCTCCTCCTCTATCTGAGATTCAACTATCGATCGGACCCTCCTCTCCAGTACCTTGGAGTAGACCTTTCCAGGGAGGCTGAGGAGTGTGA